TGTATATATTATTATTACTGTATAAATGCTTATATTAATAACACCAAATGTATTGTTAATACTGTCATTAATTGCATGGAATATATTATTTGACATTTTTATTGGACAACAATATCATGTATAATTGTTATCCCTCTCCTCTATCAATATTGTTGGCGTCCGTGGCTTTGGTGTTGCAAACATGCTTCCTAATGCCAGACTGTTGAGTTCGATCCCAGTTGCAGGTAATTTGGCAAAAGACAGTCTTGCATTGGTTTTGACAATGGTATTAAGAGTCAGCACTTCAGAAGATGATGGCAAACTACTGAATGTTAATTTGTCTAGAAAAACCACAACAGCTAAGAAATGTTGGGTTTGGTTGTGCAATAACATGTAAAGAATACAAAACTATCATTATTTATCTTTTCCTCAAATTTCTCTTTGAGTCTTCTTTTCTACTTACTTTTTCTTCTTACCTTCCTGCTTTCCATTTTTCATATTCTCAGTTTAAAAAAAAAAAATTGCTTATACTGCCTGCATTTACCAATATTGCAGTGTAGGTGGAAAGAGATTAAGGAGGAAAAGGGGGAGATGGGGGTTGAGCCTGAGGGTTTCGGTTCACGTGGCCAGGGTTGTAATGACAGACCCCTTCAGGTTAGGATTTTATATCTGGTCTCTGAAGAAAACAGCCTTACAGATGATTTGAACATAGTCCTCCTGCATGAAAGCCCAACTTCTTAACCCTTCAGCCAGCCCCTCCTTTTTTCATATTTGCAACTTCTTTCTATGTGAACAAAGAGGACAAACAACAAATTTTTTTAATGTATTGCATAGCATTTTTCACAGTGTCTCATTAGGTACATATTAATAAATAATCCAGTTTGCTGAAGTGGCCACTATCAGCCATGGTTGTTCAGTCTTGTGTAGACAAAAGGATACCGCTGTGCAAGTTGTGAACTTTCCATTACCCTAGTAAAACAGGCCAGTCCACTCAACTTACTTTTATTCTTCAACATTATTTTTTTTTTAAACAGGTTATGCAAATTGTAAATAAATCACACAAATTCAGTCTACATGTTATCAATATTGTGCATAATGCACAAAAATGCATAATATGTACTCTACTGCATCAGTTCTGGGAACTTTTTGATCTTACCAATTTAGCTATTTGTCTTTATTTACTGTTTTTATTTGTTGTAATTGTAGTCAAGACAAAGGCTACATGTCCTTGGAACTGAAGGGTGCAACATTGTGTTTGATAACATCCCTTACTGAGTGCTGATTGGTCTATAAAAATGAGTTTATTTCGCACACCTGAAGCATAACTAGCATAAAAAGGGTCTTTAACTCTTTACCTACCATATTTCTGACTGACCAATGGTTTTAAAAGGGCGTTCTGATAAACAGTCAGTAAGTCGTCCTTTTTTATTGCATTTAACAACTAGCAGCATATAAATGTGCTTTTTTGTGGGTTCATTTCTGGACTTAAGCTTTGTTTCAGGTCCTGGCTCATTTGTTGTGGCCTAGAACAAGTGGAGGCTAGAGTGACCATATGTCCTATTTATGCCATGACACTATCCTTTCTTTATGTGTGTGTCTGTCACATCGGTACTAAAATAAACAACAACGCCTTTGTCTTGCTTTACAAAAATGTAGGAATAAGTTCGAGAACAGAATATTCACTTATAGTGATATATGTAAACTCATTAGATTAAAAAGTTTTAGATCTTTTAGTACTAATAATAATAAATTTTAAAACATTTTTTAGGGTGGAGGTGGGGTGGTGTTAAACAGATTTGCTTGGGATGTCCTGTTTTCAAATCAAAATATTTGTGGGATTTTCTATTTTTCAGCTAAAATTATTATGGTCACCCTAGTGGAGTCTTAACATTTCACACTCTAGTCGCAGTTTTTGCTTGGAACTACATTCGTTCTGAATATTTAGACATCTTTTTTACCTTTTATTTATAATCATTAAATAACTTTTTAAGTTTTAATACTATACGTTTATTGCATTAACCATGACAGTATTGTAAAATATTACATTGTTACTGCATGTTCTGTAAACACTCATTAAATTACTAATGATTTTTTTCATATTAATTTTTTTTCGAATTGTAAATTTCTGAATATTATCTAGTCATGATATTGAATGCATTATATAACTAAAATTAATTTTGATTCAAATTATAAAATTATGAATATTTTTGGGTAACTATAAATAATACATCATGCAACTAATTTACTAACGATTGAGCATTTTATTGGAATTCATTCAGCGCATAAGGTATTCTTTTTCTGCTATAGAGATGAATGTGAAGTCTTTTGATAAGCTTGTTAATTTGTACGATGCAGAAGGTTGTAAACAGACCTTTTTTGAATAGCTTTAGTTTCTTCTTATAGTCCATGCCATGCAGTTCGGTGATCAAGTCAACCCGCAGTCTACGCATTGTCATCTGTCATCAGTCGCATACGTCAGAGAGAATATACTGCCTTTTGAAAATATTCTTCTTCTCATTCACTGGGTCATAGAGTTCTGGTTGTTCCATCTCTGCACTTTAATTTTGTTCCAGATCCTGAGTGTTGCAGGCTGGCTTATTTGAATGCAGACTGTTGGATTGTTACCTCTTAGGCAGATGCACTCTAACTTCATAGGAAGTCCTCAATTCGTTGACATACAACATAATTGTTAGGAAGGCAGTGTGTCTATGCTTGTCTCCCCCCCCCCCCCCCCCCCCCCCCCCCCTTCCCCCACAGTGGGGCTCCCGGAACCCACATGGGGAAATATAAGGGCAAGCATGTGGAGATGAGCTGTGTGGCAAAGAAAAAAGATAAGACAGTCAACTCCAATTGAGTACAGGGAGCGTGGAGACACTGAGATGGCTGCTGCATCAAAGGAGGAATGGGTCACACCGATGTGGTAGGATGTTGATAAGTAACAAGTATCTATCTCATGTACTGACTATCAGCTCTGATACAGAGTCCACCATGACTCTTCCAGATTGATACAGGAGGTTTGACACAGTGAACCAAACAAGAAATCTCTTTTTAAGAGTAACATCTTTTTTATAAGCTTTTATTAGGTTCAGTTTTTGTGTTGTGGTAGAATTTATCCCAGTATCAAAGGAGTCAA